TGGACCCAGTTTATCGTTAACTCCGACATCTTGTCAGTAAAAACACTTCAAATATTCGTCTGTCTGTGTTGTATTTGTTATTTCAATTTGCCCATTTCAAGTCTGGTGTTTATTTCATTACCGCAATATTCTTTCACTTCAATACTTATTTCCTCCTCAGTCCACCACAACTTGGTTTCAATCACATTCTTTCTCTTCGATTGCAGTACATCCAGGTAATCTAACTTACTGTCAAATAATTATACATTTTCGATATATCTTTTACACCAATTTTCATTTTTCAATTTGTCCTTCGTTATCCCAAGATCATTCAAAATCGTTTGTTGAATTTCCAATGGTTATGCCCGAGGTAGCAAATCGATTTGAATTCCTGGCACGAACACGAGTTTTCTGGCTGTGAGATTTTTGTTGGCCAGTCGGTTAGAGCTATCTACACAAGTAAAAGGAACTGGGATATATGTCACAGCGTTGCCTGTCAATGTCTCAAACACTAGGCTTTAAGGTGATGTATACAAAACACAAACTTCACCGCCGCGTGTCAGTCGAATACAAATTCACCAATAAAAAGGGCTGGCTGTATATGTTTATTGTTAAAGTATATTCCGCCCGGAGAGTCCAAGACGTGATAACTCCCCGTCATATACACACACGGAGAGTCCTAGACGTGATAACTCCCCGTCATATACACACACGGAGAGTCCTAGACGTGATAATGGTAGCATTAATGGTGTAGAATGTTCTGTTACTCCCGTCATACACACACGCTTGCAGCAGATATCTACTGAACCGGATCGGAATGGATTCCTCCACGAATAGTTGAAAAGTATTTATGAAGTATACAAAATCTCTAGTGTTATTATGTTTTGTTATGTTTATAGCGATAATTAGTTTTCTTTGGCTGTTCATGTGGGTCTTATTTGCCACATTTCACGGTACAAAGCACCCGCACATTACATAGCATTATATTCCTGAATGACTTACCTGATGAAAGTTTTGAAAAGCAGGTCCATGAAGATTTACGGTTAATTATCAATTAATGAAATAAACAATTTGACATACGATACCTACAGTTTAGTGGAGACGTCTGAAGGACAGTGCATACACCTTTACAAAGACATACATGTATGTTAGTCATGAAATCGTTTGGTTTATTTTTGTCCAAAACGATACAATGTGTTACTATAATCTTGTTGAAACGAGGTGTATCTTTTACTTATAAAGAACACAGTCTGTGTGATTATCCCCGGGATTCACACTTAATTAGTCTGTTTGGGGTCGGTAAAATTATCATGTATTAATATGTTTTAAAAATGGCAAAGACATTAAAAGATTCTTTCTTCTTAAAAAAGTATATTAAATAAATCCTTGTAGTTATTTAGGTTTTAATAAGGTTATGTTATTATATTGTATCAAAAAATATTTCAGACATAAGTTTATAAAAATAGAACTTTGAAATAAAAACAAATACATATATATAACTGCTTATTAAATAGGATAATGATCATCTCATGTTCTGTGATGGACGTGTAAGCCTTTGAATACATCATTTAATATCTAACAGGGGTTAGTCATGGTTGCCTGCCCACCATTAAAAATGGATTTCAATATTTAAAGTCCCCTACTATTCCTGTTAACAACATCATGGAGTTTGCACTTTAATGCTTTTCACCTGTATGTGATAAGACATTTTAATATCTAGGTAGATCATACTGACCTGAAACGCATTTCGATTTCAATCTATAATATAATACCTATTATTGTTAAGTGTGTGGCTGAAAGCTTCAGATTAAATTCAAGTACATATAACACAGATTGTATACCTATAAATGGTAGTATTTGTATGTGTTCATTTACTGAATGACTGGAAAATTTGGAAATCGATAACACCAGAAGTATATTGTCGCGTTACCACAAACGATATAATAAAATACTGGAAATTGTTTTGCACAATGAAGTCGAACATTGATTTTATAGCGAATGTTGGGTTATTGTCAGGAAGAACAGTCATCTTTCCGATAAGGCTAAAAAGGTACAACTATGAATTATATCAATCAAAGCACGATTTAATTAAAAAATGTGTATATTAAAGCAAATGTTTGTTTCGATACTTACGTATAGGGTATCATGGCACGACAAAACGACAATAGTAACGGAGGATTCTGGACTAACAATGCCTTACAATTTACTAAGAAACAGTCTATACTAGCTCCGTCAGGTCAAGCAAGTTTAAAAACCAAAAATACAGCATCAAAATATAGAATCAATTTAACGAAACGCTTATGGCCAGTTTTTGTAAAAGAAAAATTAAAGCATGTAATATTCTGTGCATTATCAGTACCGCCATATTACCGCGCAGCATTGAACGTGGTACATATATTGCATGATAATAGGAGGGGGATAGACTCTCCCCCCCCCCCCCCCCCCCCCCCCCCCTTTTTTTTTTTTTCAAATTCTTGCTTATTTCTCATGTCTCTCGTGACGTAGACTCAGCCCTTTTATGGAAGGTTATGGGTTACATGTCACAAGACCTTGACACACCATAGTTCTTATCACGATAAATGCTACGCCCTGTCTGGCGCTCATTACTGAAATGAATGCACAAGGAAAAATGACTTCCGTTCCTGCATCAGAACAGTGGACACGGGGATATGTCTTGCAAACGAATCTAAAATATAAACTTTGTTTTACAGCACTTGCGAAACAAGTTATTTCGATTCATGACAATCACTATTGTTGGTCCAGATGTAAATGCGCAAGGGGCCTTACTGTGCGAGGAGACCGGAGTGCCGGTGGAATATCAATGTGATTTGACAGGTGATCCCCTACCCTTTAATGTCCGTTCCGGGAATCGAACTCCGAACGGCTAGGTGAAGGCGAGTGCGTTATTAAAGCGCTAACCGACCAGTCTTTGTGTCTGCGACATGACAAGTAAATGGCACCACAAGGCGTACCTTTACAGTAAGCAACCCAGTGCAGAAGGGCACTACCCTTAAATGACCTTTATGTAAAACGCTGGATATCAAAGAATTTATTTATCTGATGCCCAGAAATCCAAATCTCTGTCTCACGATAGTGATGTTTTCAGCTTGAGTCAGAGTGTCACGGAGTTGACATAACGCCGACTCTTTCCTATCGCCATCCTCTGTTAAATGTACACCATGTTTAATGGCCAAGTGGTTCCGTTTTCAATCCTGGGTCCTTCACAATAGTTGTGTTTGCTTTGCCTATACTCGTGACATTACTGGGTGATGTACATTCAATTTTCTTTAATGTATGATATTATAACTGGGTGTGATTCTTTGTCTAAGTTTAACTTAACAGGCGATATCCGGGGTAAACGGGTTTTCATAATCTTCTACTGTGATGTTCTGGCGTGTCTTTGACGATTTTTTAATAATGTGTTCCATTCGTAAACATATGTCTGGTGGAGATTTCTCTTCACCATCATTACCAGTATATATGATCATAATTCATAAGGAGGGTGGCACCATGTGTTTGAGACTTCCAATGGTTGATGACTATAAGAGATTAGACGTCCAATGGTTGATGACTATAAGAGATTAGACTTCCAATGGTCGATGGCTATAAGAGATTAGACTTTCAATGGTTGATGGCTATAAGAGATTAGACTTTCAATGGTTGATGACTATAAGAGATTAGACTTCCAATGGTTGATGACTATAAGAGATTAGACGTCCAATGGTTGATGACTATAAGAGATTAGACTTCCAATGGTTGGTGACTATAAGAGATTAGACTTCCAATGGTTGGTGACTATAAGAGATTAGACTTCCAATGGTTGGTGACTATAAGAGATTAGACGTCCAATGGTTGATGACTATAAGAGATTAGACTTCCAATGGTTGATGACTATAAGAGATTAGACGTCCAATGGTTGATGACTATAAGATATTTAACTTCCAATGGTTGATGACTATAAGAGATTAGACGTCCAATGGTTGGTGACTATAAGAGATTAGACGTCCAATGGTTGATAACTATAAGAGATTAGACGTCCAATGGTTGATGACTATAAGAGATTAGACGTCCAATGGTTGATGACTATAAGAGATTAGACGTCCAATGGTTGGTGACTATAAGAGATTAGACGTCCAATGGTTGGTGACTATAAGAGATTAGACTTCCAATGGTTGGTGACTATAAGAGATTAGACTTCCAATGGTTGTTGACTATAAGAGATTAGACTTCCAATGGTTGATGGCTATAAGAGGTTAGACTTCCAATGGTTGATGACTATGAGAGATCAGACTTCGAGTCTAATGTACATACATGTATAAACAAAACTGTTCCCCAGTAAACGTTTAAGCATATTCTCTTTTCCAAACGGCACAGCGGTTATGTCCTCCGAACTGACATAGTTCGTCTGACATACACCATCAATATTTTTGCTTTATATATTTATTTATTTTAGATGTTTGCTGCTGCTATATTATGACATCCAATCGATCTGCATCTAGGTATGAATTATTTACAGTAAATGATTTTGAAAAAACAGATAAAATGCTAATCTATGATGCGGATGTATTATCCATGTGTTTGAATGGATTCCAGTCTGGAAATATGTCACGATCATTTTCATATTTCGAGGAGACTCCCTGGATTGGAGAACTTGTGGCCTGGAATTTTGGATTTCGAGTTGTCGATTATTCTGTATGTGATTCCGTAAATACTGATAAATGGTATCATCCCTCGGGGAGGCGAATCCATAACAAACAACTTGACTTACCTCCCCTCCGTCATAACTGACAAGGAGCAAGACTGGCTTAAAAGATGGTCACGGATTTTGTCTTGGTGAAGACATGGGCATAAGGAAGGCAAATATATATATAATTCATAGTGTAACATAAAATAAGCACTTGATTGTAAATTTATCCAATTTTGGCCGTTTTAAATTTCAAATAATGGAGTATCCTGTGTGTTCTGAGAACAAACGGAGTGCCATGGGGATGAGGAGAGAGTGAACTCACGAGACATCTTACCTCTTTGTCCAAGTTGTCGAGGTGAAGGGCCGTATCAATATCGTCTGTCGCCTTTCTGATCTGGTTCAGCTTCAAGTGACACTTTGATCTGTTGATGAGTGATTTCACGTCAGCTGGGTCACAGCGTAACGCCTACAACCAGAATAGAACCTTTGTAAATACACAACCGATACAACATTAATGTTATGAACAGAGTGGCTACCCGTTATAGTCAACAGTTGTCATTTCGTTTTTTTTTTTTTTTTGTTTTGTTTTTGTTTTGTTTTTATTTTTTGCGGAAACTTAATTTTATTTATTTTTATTTTATTTTATGACAGTTACCTTATGTGTTTACAAAGAGATAAACACAAATCAGGTGTGGATATCATTATTTTTTATTTTTTTTTAATCTAGTAACCTGATCTATATAGTTTGTGTTGTCAAACACTGGTATTCCGGAACGGAACATCCGACCGTTGACTTGTCAATTAGAACAAGCTTCACTAGTAAGCAGACGATAAAACAAATTACATATTGAGGAAGTTTGAAGGAGTTGTCCTTCTTTAATCTATATAATTTTTGTTTGTTATCATTATTATTCAAAAATGTACCAAAAGCCAACAGCTTAAGTAATCCTTGTGACGATAAAGGTCGTTTGGCAATTTTTTTTCACTAGTTTTGAATGTTTCCTATCGGCATATTTAAGTACATGCATTTCGAGACACAATTGACATATTCTTACAATCGTTCGCAGGTTAGCGGGGCTCTTTCGTGTTGGAGATTGTAATGATATTACGGATTAGGTTAATCCACCTGTTTAAAATATCTGTCAGGTTGGTGGATCAAGGCTAGTTAACAAAATCACTTAATCCCTTAATACAAAGAATCTACATATACGACAGATTATAACCCCTGTCATTCAATACTCGAAGGTTTTAAAGTCAATTTTATAAATAGGAGGAATAAATGGTGTTAAATACAGTTTAACGAATACATTCAGAACATCACAACAGTTAGTATCTGTAAACAAGCGATACTACCCACCCACACCGTCTTAAACTAAATGTGATTCATCCTAACTATTTCTATGACGTACTACAACTATGACGTCACCATTTTAATTTACTGGAGCACAATCTACCTCCATAATTACAGTGACGCTTAGTATTGTAATGTTAATACACAGTGATAAACCGTTGTAGTGAAATCATTAAGTACAGATATATACCTGTAAGTATGTAGTAGCCATTGTACGAACATCACGTGTACGAGTATGTTGAAAGTCGACTACTTTTACAATATTTCTGAACGTTCATACGATCCGAGTCCTCCACTCCCATTTTGATAATGTCAATAGATGTTTATATTCATAATTAGAATTCTACATCTTCCCCCTCATCGCTTTATAATTGTACAACTCGACCTATGTAAACCTCACTTTCCAGCGTGTTTGATGCAGTATGGAATCCATAGAAAGAAATGGGACGGAGGGAATATTCAATCATTTGTGTAGTCTTGCATTTTCTTTCTTTCTTTCTTTCTTTCTTTATTTATTTATTTATTTATTTATTTTATTTATTTATTTATTTCAGCATCCACGAGACAAACAAATTCGGGTTATCATCTGATTACTTATCTGTTTATAATCAAAATATTTCTTGAAATGTCTTTATAACATTATTTATTTTTATTTATTTTTCAACTTTCGAACCCTTTTCGTTTCCTCGTAATCACAAAAAAAACTATTGTGTTTCAATAGTATGGGTGTTAATATACTTGTGAGTATGTACGTACACATTACGTGTTACGTGTGTGCACGATTCAATGAGAAGGTCGGCCATGTGACCCGTGACAATGTTTTACAAAGATTCGATCTAATTGTTCAGATTACAGATACGAACTCATAAAAACTCTTTGTCTGATAAAATCCCACACCAAATCGAATCCCCAAGTGGGAATATTCTCACGGCATTGTACGCTTTAGATCTAAAACGAAAATACTAAATAACTGGATTTATTTTGTTTCGTTTATTTCAATACTTAAACATATCATACAGTGTGTATTTAATAAATATTTATAAATTTCAACAGCGACTTGATTTAAAATCAATTTGACAGGAAGTATCATGCCGTTTATGCTTTGAGGCTAAGCCTACACCAGAATTGAGTTATTTTCGGTATTATATAAAAATTATCTGTTCGTGCTTGGCTTATCGTCTGGATTTCTAGCTCCTGTCCCGATAGAAGACAGAACATGTTTTATGTGTTTTTTACAGTATCATGTACACCTTGTGTTACACTTATTCTACTTATTCTTAAGCGATCGTTAACATGGCTTTATTATCATTATTATTATTGTTATTATCATTATTATTATTATTATTATTATTATTATTCTCATTTACGAAAGGGAAATGATTTTTTTCTTTTCCTTTTTATGATGTTACTTAGTTAAACATGAACATTGTAATGTAGAAGACGGTATTTATGTTTTGTAATCCATAAGGATCCATCCATCTATTTTATATACTATATATATTGTATAAAAAGATCACGGGTAGTGAGTACATGATGAACTGTTTGACAGCACGTGCTAGATCACCGCTTCCTAATTAACGTCACTAAATGTCTTCCTCTCCCTATAATATCTTCTGTTTCAATGAAAGTACTGCTTATGAATGTCAAAATTAAGTGTACAAAATCATTTCTCCTGTAGCTGTTCGAAATGACTTTCTAGATCAAATTTTGTTGAAAAAGGTATAGTTTATCGTTAGATATGACCTTTTCAAAATGTACCTAGAGAAAGTGGACAAAGTAATATAGATGAAGGTTTCCGTAATGCTGTTTGTTTATGCGGGCTTTTATTAATCAATATGTACTTATCGCTATCACTGTGATACATTCCTAACATCTACCCAGGTATCTCTGTTAGTGGAATCGTCGGGAGTTTATTCCTGACTGTCTTAATTTCACATCCACTTATATTTCCTATTTCGCTCCCCAGACAATTATATTTCTAGTCACCTTCCACTTCAATTTCTTATTTCCCGCTATTCTAACGTCATCTTACACGCCTGTTAATTAATAACATTCTAGCTTCCCAAAACGTTACCAACATCCAAAACGTTCCGACATCCCAAAACGTTACCAATATCCAAGAACGTTCCGACATCCCAAAGCGTTACCTACATCCAAAACGTTCCGACATCCCAAAGCGTTACCTACATCCAAAACGTTCCGACATCCCAAAGCGTTACCTACATCCAAAACGTTCCGACATCCCAAAGCGTTACCTACATCCAAAACGTTCCGACATCCTAAAACGTTACCTACATCCAAAACGTTCCGACATCCCAAAGCGTTACCTACATCCAAAACGTTCCGACTTCCCAAAACGTTACCTACATCCAAAACGTTCCGACATCACAAAGCGTTACCTACATCCAAAACGTTCCGACATCCCAAAACGTTACCTACATCCAAAACGTTCCGACATCCCAAAACGTTACCTACATCCAAAACGTTCCGACATCACAAAGCGTTACCTACATCCAAAACGTTCCGACATCCCAAAACGTTACCTACATCCAAAACGTTCCGACACCCTAAAAACGTTCCGACACCCTAGAACGTTATCGACATCCAAAACCTTCCGACATCCTTGACCGTTCCGACATTCCAAAACGTTCCGACATCCTTGACCGTTCCGACATTCCAAAACGTTTCGACACCCTTACAGCATCCCGACATCCCAAAACGTTCCGACATCCTTGACCGTTCCGACATTCCAAAACGTTCCGACACCCCCAAAACGTTCCGACACCCTTACAACATTCAGACACCCCAAAGCGTTCTGACATCGCAAAAACGTTTCAACATCCCAAAACGTTATTGATATCTCAAAACTCCGTTCCGACACCAAATTCCCAACATCCCACCATCATTCCTCATATTCAAACACTCAGTTACCACTATCAACTACTCTCGCCATTCCATCATCGCGCCTCATACAAACTGAACCCTATACATCCCCTCTAAACAGTTCATATCATCCATATCAGTGTACCACCAACCACAGTATCATTACCCTACACTGTGATCCCATCAGCTCTCTCTGTAATATCCGATATTTAAATTATACATAGAACATTGAAAAATATGAAAAAACCCACTTTTTTTTATAATATTTACATACCTGATAGTGACGAAAACCGGCGCCTTGAATTGATTAAACAGTACCCCTCATTTCACTTACAGATTTACTTCAGAGAGAAGCACACATCATACACTGCTGTATGTAGGTAGGTATAGTAAGAAATCTTTTGACACATGCTATCCACCATAAATGCCACTGTGTTGATACATTAATTAAATTGAACTGAGACGTATATAATGTACACAGTTTGACAAATTGATATACAAAAGGTGTGACGTACAGGTGTATATACCTGTATAGGTATACAACACACCTGTATCAAACTTCATTGATATAGACCTGTTTGTACAGGTAATATAAAGGTTTCACAAAGTTTACAAATACGAAGTCCGGTGGAATACAAGTGTGCTTAATGTTCCCTCTATCGCCATGAATTCGGATTTAACTAAGACTTTTTTATCTACAACTTGCACAACAAAGTATGAAATTCTGTACATATTTATTTGATATTGTGTGTATTAACATAGGGTTTTGGCATTTTGCCTCGGTACATTTATAAAAAAAAAAAATCCCCGTGATTCCAAACATAGGACCATATAAAGCACTTTGTGGAAAATTCGTATATTTTCGACAGAAAAACAAAAACGCAGAAACGCATGAATTATCACGTTATTTCCTTGAGAAAAATTTTACATTTTAATGTTTGATATTAGGGGTCTGTTAATAGCATACGTTGATACTAAATTTTAATCGTTTACCTCATCTTTTGCAGTAATGAAATCGCTATTTGGGATTTAAATTAAATGGCTTCTTTTTCTTGTCACTTATACACAAGTACAAGCTTTAAACGAACTCTAAGTTCACATGTGAACACACATATGAATACCAACTAGGAAAAGTGTTTTTATTCCTGTGTGTACAACGTCTGTATTTTAATCTTATTACTTTTTCTCGTACGTCTTAAACATGATTTTAAAAAGGTTTCCCAAATATCTATGATCCTTACCTAAATAAACTCAGACATCCCGACACAAAGTCATCATAATGTAATCTTAAGTCAACCATCATACCAAGACTCCCCAAACACACCAAATGTCGATCATCCATTCACTACTCAGAAATCCCCTAGTAAGACGAATCCAAACGTAAACCGGAAGTTGATCCTTCTCACACTAGGACGTTCAAACATAAACCGTAAGAGTATCATTAATTCATCGAATCTAAACAAATAAACCGGAAGTAAATAATTCCAACATCAAGACATCCAAACACGACCAGGAGCCAGTCACTCATACACCAAGACATCCAAACACGACCAGCCAGTCACTCATACACCAAGACATCCAAACACGACCAGGAGCCAGTCACTCATACACCAAGACATCCAAACACGACCAGGAGCCAGTCACTCATACACCAAGACATCCAAACACGACCAGGAGCCAGTCACTCATACACCAAGACATCCATACACGACCAGCCAGTCACTCATACACCAAGACATCCAAACACGACCAGGAGCCAGTCACTCATACACCAAGACATCCAAACACGACCAGGAGCCAGTCACTCATACACCAAGACATCCAAACACGACCAGGAGCCAGTCACTCATACACCAAGACATCCAAATACACCAGGAGCCAGCCAGTCACTCATACACCAAGACATCCAAACACGACCAGGAGCCAGTCACTCATACACCAAGACATCCAAACACGACCAGCCAGTCACTCATACACCAAGACATCCAAACACGACCAGGAGCCAGTCACTCATACACCAAGACATCCAAACACGACCAGCCAGTCACTCATACACCAAGACATCCAAACACGACCAGGAGCCAGTCACTCATACACCAAGACATACACCAAGACATCCAAACACGACCAGGAGCCAGTCACTCATACACCAATACATCCAAACACGACCAGCCAGTCACTTATACACCAAGACATCCAAACACGACCAGCCAGTCACTCATACACCAAGACATCTAAACACGACCAGGAGCCAGTCACTCATACACTAATACATCCTAACACGACCAGCCAGTCACTCACACACCAAGACATCCAAACACGACCAGCCAGTCACTCATACACCAAGACATCCAAACACGACCAGGAGCCAGTCACTCATACACCAAGACATCCAAACACGACCAGCCAGTCACTCATACACCAAGACATCCAAACACGACCAGCCAGTCACTCACACACCAAGACATCCAAACACGACCAGCCAGCCACTCACACACCAAGACATCCAAACACGACCAGCCAGCCACTCACACACCAAGACATCCAAACACGATCAGCCAGTCACTCATACACCAAGACATCCAGACACGACCAGGGCCAGTCACCCAAAAATGAACCGGATGTCGACTATCCGCACACCGAGATGTTCCGAAACAAACTCGAACTAAACCATTTTTACGACGACATGTCTTTGATAAACAGCTCACTTATCAAATCGGAAGGTGACTGTTTAAATTGGTTATTGATGAAATGTGATCCTATAACCTTACAGGTACATATCTAACGAACTCTTGATTATAATATTACAAAATGGGACAAATCGTTTTTACCTTACAAGAAGTTATATTCACCACAGGGACTTGGGCACGAGTTCCCAATCAACGGTCCATAAACATATATTATAGCGTACATTTCTATAAACCATGGGCTGGAAAGTCGTGTCATGTCCAAGTGATATTAGGGTTATATGATAAAATGCGTCCATTTTACAATGATTTAAATAAATGATAGAAAGCCTGGTGAGGAATGTAAAAAACGGATTTGACCCGGAATTATATTCAGTGCTTTACATTATCGTATCACCTACCAGTTACAAAACAATAGAAATGTTGAGTCGACATTAAAATAGAAATGAAAACTGACCGATATGAAGCATGGTACATTTACTTATTAGGAGCACGATTTGCGTTCATCCGCTAAAGCACACTTCTGAACAAACAAATATGTGCGTCTTGGTATAATACAGGTTAGTGTTTATAGTAGAAGAGATTTGTATTAGATAGTATTGTGACAGTTTGATTTAAATTCAGGTTACAGTGCTGTCTCGTTAAGCTTCCCCTGACGTAAGGTTCTTTAACAGGGAGAGAATCACAAAACACACGGATAAAGTAGATTTGTAATATATAGTATACATATTGTAGTATTGCCTACATAACATTCACTATAAACACAAACCATGTTATACAGTTGCAGGGCCGCCTTGTATTTGTCCCTCCCCAGAAGGTCATCACCATCCTGCCGGTATAACGCCGTTAACACTTCCTTCCGTCTCCGGTTGAAGTTGCCACTTTCAGCCATTTCTCACAAACTAAGAAAAATCCAAAGAAAAACTCTACCCAAGCAATGTTGAATGTCTAGTAATTTTCACGTGTAATCGGCACCTGTTACAACTTCATATAGTAAATTCCACGAACGCCTCGAATATCTTGCCAGATAAGAAAGCATTTTTCATATTTTCGCTGTCCAACATTCCTTCCGGAAATACAAACATTGTCTACTACTGTCGTACATTTTGAATTCGTTTATGAATTTAGTTCCAGAAAGTGTTGTTGGTAATTTGAAAGAAATCAACAAACACGATGTGAAGAATCGAACGCCTTCAAAACAATTGCTCAATCGTAATAACACATTTCATACCGACTCTGTAGCGATATGTGGTGATGTATTTTTCATTGTAGGGAAATGAAATCAATTTTGAATTAATACGTCGGAGAAATTAAACTTATTCCAAAGGCGAGTATATATTTCACTGTCGAAAAAATGAGTTTCAAACCCGTGTATATTTCGTTGTCTGCGATAGAAACAGTATTCCCGAGAAACGGCGTTAACTTCGCTGTCGAAGAAATGAAATAAACATTTTGATCCGTGACTGAGGAGCCAGTATTAAATGTGTTAATCCTCGGCCGGTCACAGTTTAATCCGTAGGATATGTGTGCGACACGGACCTATACCGAACACTAAGACAAATGAGATTATAGAATTGTAACGTATTATCCTATTTTCTTCATATCCGTCTTACTTAAAATTTGTCAGCTTGGAAATATCTAAAATATTATTTGTAAAAATATACTTCCGGTTTAAATGATTGAACTTATGTCTAACATTTATTAATTTCAAATGCAAACACAATATATTTTATTTAGAAAAAAATGTTATTTTTTTCAACTCGCAAAAAGGATAAGTTAACTATTTGGGTCTTCTGATAAGCTAAGCCGACAAATGATATTAACAGGAGTTGGTAATAGGTCAAATGTGCGTTATTTTTCGTGCAGGTCGTTTAGTGACTAATACGTAGCCTCTACAGAAGATACCGTATACCTGTTTATAGTGACATATGATATGTATGTTTTTGTGTTTTAATAGTATCAGTCGTTGATAAGGCTAGATACGACACTTCGCGTACAATACATGCACGTGACTGAACAGCTGTGTCTATACCGTATGTAGGCAGGTCCAATTTAGACTTAATTACTGTTATCAATTATACAGATATTATCTCGTTTGATTTAGACAAGCCTGTTTATAATCATCGACATTTTCACTTCAGTATAGGATATTTACATCTGGAGTCCTTCACGCCGACATCAACAAATTTGGTGATTTAGGACACATCAGCGTGCCTTTTTTCTATATATTTTTTATGAGCACTTCTTAACAAAATCTGTTTGTTCCTGTAAACTGACAATGGCGTTTTATTATTGAAATTGCATCAATTGAATGAAAGTTCCAAACTGACAAAATCAAATTTTAACAAGTAAACTAGTAAAGTTTCTGAAATGAAGACTTTACACTTCACTTATTGGTAAAAATGCCTTCCTTACCCAAGTTCAGGGAACCTTTTTAACAATTATTATTATTTAGTTCGGCCTTGAAAACTTACCGGAGTACAAGAGAGAACGCAGAGAGCATTTGTTCCAGGGAGAGTCTCCACACCCCCTATAAATGGCAAGGTATGGAAGGAAATAAAATCCTTATAGATTTTGATAAGTTAGCCTAGTTATTCTGGATTTCGTGTGTAGTGTATAAAGTCGCAGCGCGGACCTCTGTTTTAACATTATAATCGTCGTTAGTCAGGATTCCGGTGAGAGCAATTGTAAGCAGTTAGTCAGGATCTGTGTGGACAGTATGACTCAAACAAAGGCAAATTAACCAAGTTAGTTTGGATTCCGTGTGCAAGGTGTGGGCAGTCTAATCTCTTTAGTCTGGATTCTGGTGTGAACGGGGCAGAGAGTAGTAACTAGGGAATGGATTATAGTAACTACGGGACAGATAGTAACTAGGAAATGCATTATAGTAACTACGGGACAGATAGTAGTAACTAGGGAATGGGTTATAGTAACTACGGGACAGAAACAGTAACTAGGGAATGGATTATAGTAACTACATGTACAACACAGAGTGCAGTAACTAAGAAACGGATTATATCAACTACATGTACAACACAGACTGTAGAAACTAGGAAACGGATTATATCAACTACATGTCCAAGACAGACTGCAGTAACTAGGAAACGGATTATATCAACTACATGTACAAGACAGACGGCAGTAACTAGGAAACGGATTATATCACCTACATGTACAGGACAGACTGTAGTAACTAGGAAACGGATTATATCAACTACATGTACAGGACAGACTGCAGTAACTAGGAAACGGATTATATCAATTCCATGTACAGGACAGACTGCAGTAACTAGGAAACGGATTATATCAACTACATGTACAAGACAGACTAGTATCTAGGAAACAGATTATACCAGCTACATGTATAACACAGACTGCAGTAACTAGGAAACGGATTATATCAACTACATGTACAGGACAGATTTCAGTAACTAGGAAACGGATTATATCAACTACATGTACAAGACAGACTGTAGTAACTAAGAAACGGATTATATCACCTACATGTACAAGACAGACGGCAGTAACTAGGAAACGGATTATATCAACTACATGTACAGGACAGACTGCAGTAACTAGGAAACGGATTATATCAACTACATGTACAGGACAGACTGTAGTAACTAGGAAACGGATTATGTCAACTACATGTACAAGACAAACTGTAGTAACTAGGAAACGGATTATATCAACTACATGTACTAAGAAACGGATTATATCAACTACATGTACAAGAGAGAATGTAGTAACTAGGAAACGGATTATACCAGCTACATGTACAACACAGACTGCAGTAACTAGGAAACGGATTATATCAACTACATGTACAGGACAGACTGTAGTAACTAGGAAACGGATTATATCAACTACATGTACACGACAGATTTCAGTAACTAGGAAACGGATTATATCACCTACATGTACAAGACAGATTGTAGTAACTAAGAAACAGATTATATCAACTACATGTACAAGACAGACGGCAGTAACTAGGAAACAGATTATATCAACTACATGTACAAGACAGACTGCAGTACCTAGGAAACGGATTATATCAACTACATGTACAGGACAGACTGTAGTAACTAGGAAACGGATTATATCAACTACATGTACACGACAGATTTCAGTAACTATGAAACGGATTATATCAACTACATGTACAAGACAGACTGTAGTAACTAGGAAACGGATTATATCACCTACATGTACAAGACAGACGGCAGTAACTAGGAAACGGATTATATCAACTACATGTACAGGACAGACTGCAGTACCTAGGAAACGGATTATATCACCTACATGTACAGGACAGAATGTAGTAACTAGGAAACGGATTATATCAACTACATGTACAAGAGAGACTGTAGTAACTAGGAAACGGATTATACCAGCTACATGTACAACACAGACTGCAGTAACTAGGAAACGGATTATATCAACTACATGTACAAGACAGACTGTAGTAACTAGGAAACGGATTATATCACCAACATGTACACGACAGATTTCAGTAACTAGGAAACGGATTATATCAACTACATGTACAAGACAGACTGCAGTAACTAGGAAACGGATTATATCACCTACATGTAGAAGACAGACTGCAGTAACTAGGAAACGGATAATATCAATTACATGTACAACACAGATTGTAGTAACTAGGAAACGGATTATATCAACTACATGTACAGGACAGACTGTAGAAACTAGGAAACGGTATATCACCTACATGTACTGCAGAAACTAGGAAACGGATTATATCAACTACATGTACAAGACAGACGGCAGTAACTAGGAAACGGATTATATCACCTACATGTACACGACAGATTTCAGTAACTAGGAAACAGATTATATCAACTACATGTACAAGACAGACTGTAGTAACTAGGAAACGGATTATATCACCAACATGTACACGACAGATTTCAGTAACTAGGAAACGGATTATATCACCAACATGTACACGACAGATTTCAGTAACTAGGAAACGGATTATATCAACTACATGTACAAGACAGACTGCAGTAACTAGGAAACGGATTATATCACCTACATGTAGAAGACAGACTGCAGTAACTAGGAAACGGATAATATCAATTACATGTACAACACAGATTGTAGTAACTAGGAAACGGATTATATCAACTACATGTACAGGACAGACTGTAGAAACTAGGAAACGGATTATATCACCTACATGTACAAGCCAGACTGCAGAAACTAGGAAACGGATTATATCAACTACATGTACAAGACAGACGGCAGTAACTAGGAAACGGATTATATCAACTACATGTACACGACAGATTTCAGTAACTAGGAAACAGATTATATCAACTACATGTACAAGACAGACTGTAGTAACTAGGAAACGGATTATATCACCAACATGTACACGACAGATTTCAGTAACTAGGAAACGGATTATATCACCAACATGTACACGACAGATTTCAGTAACTAGGAAACGGATTATATCAACTACATGTACAAGACAGACTGCAGTAACTAGGAAACGGATTATATCAACTACATGTACAAGACAGACTGCAGTAACTAGGAAACGGATTATATCAACTACATGTACAAGACAGATTGTAGTAACTAGGAAACGGATTATATCAACTACATGTACAGGACAGACTGTAGAAACTAGGAAACGGATTATATCACCTACATGTACAAGCCAGACTGCAGAAACTAGGAAACGGATTATATCACCTACATGTACACGACAGATTTCAGTAACTAGGAAACAGATTATATCAACTACATGTACAAGACAGACTGTAGTAACTAGGAAACGGATTATATCACCAACATGTACACGACAGATTTCAGTAACTAGGAAACAGATTATATCAACTACATGTACAAGACAGACTGTAGTTACTAGGAAACGGATTATATCACCTACATGTACAAGACAGATTTCAGTAACTAGGAAACAGATTATATCAACTACATGTACAAGACAGACTGTAGTAACTAGGAAACGACTAGAATGGGACAAATTGTACGTGTAGTAACAAGAGAATGAATTATAGTAAATATGTAACATATAAAAGTAAGTAAGGATATGTACGATATGATTTGACGCGACTTGAGGAAATTATGACGTGCAGAATATTTGTTCAGCATCATTACCAAGGAAATGTTACAGGAGTGTTTTCTGTACACATGTACAGTGTATTTGTGTACTGTTTAATATGTCATCATTTGGTCCATGAGTCCACACCAGATCTTCAAAGATCAATTGACAGTTCACTGAAAGATGTTTTTAATTAAAAGTTGGTTAGTGGGTACATCTGTAATTAATGCAATGTTGTCAATTCACAAACAAACCAACAAAAACTCCACTCTTCAAACTAAAATTTTATGATTTCCAATTTGGGAATTATGTCCAGTCACAATATCAATATACATGTATATACAATCTGTTCATTATAACTTTGTATCAATTTGGTGACATATTCATTAAGGTCTTAACAAACTGTATAAAGTAGACCTGTACAAGTTGTACATTATACTATCTAATTTGGCACTTCAGTAAACACCATATCATAAGACATGGTTTCAAGATAAAACACAAAAATCTTTATAACAGCTTCTGAATAAACAAAAAAAGTAGATAAATCTCATCCTAATTGACTAGTGTATTCTGTTAAACATTTAATCGATGTGAATTTGTGTACATACTTCTCATCAAAAGTAATATTATTCAATTGATTTGTTCTCAACAATTACTTGTGATATCCAAAAACAGCATTCAAAAATTTCATAAATTTTTCATTTTTGAGAAAACTATTTAAATATTTCAAACCTAAGGTTTCCTCATGCAGCTAACATCTTAAGAGTCAATATTTTTGTTTATTGAAAATCTGCACTTTTAATGTTGCTGACAGGAAATTTTCTATGTAATTGTTCCTATATCTGGTATCACAGTTCACCGGTGATGTCATTGATTACAAGTTTCCTGATTATTCCTCCTCTGCCTTGTCATCATCTGAAAAATAATTATTACACATAAATGAACCCATCCAATAATTACCAAGCAAGGAAATTGTTCTGTTTTCCATTCAACATATAAACAATATCTCTAACCAACCTTAACCACAGTATTAATAGGAAACTACCAGAACAAGAATATCAGTAAACCTGATCCTTCCAGAAAACAATTTAATTGGAAAACATACAAACAAAGGTCAATAACTCTGTAATTAAGGAGTTCTAGGCCCTGATTTTGATACACTTCATATCCTCTAGCATGACTAGCACATACACCATGTTTTATTGTCCAAGTTAAAATGAAAAGAGGATTAACAAACACAGTAACAGAATGATAGAGAGAAATGTTTTGAATGTCTAAAGAATGCAAGAGACCAAAGAGTGGAAATAAAAAATAACAAGGAAGTTAAAAAAACACCAAACAGTGATATAAAAAAAGATGAAAATAAAAATTATTCTATGTTAAATGAAAGCAAAGTTATTTTGGGGAGCACAAAAGTTTTTGCCAAGTAATGTACAATCTTCCTAGTGTTATATAAAACCGTTTAGTTACCATCATATCAATTAAGTGGAAGTTTGTTGCTTATAAACTTGATAGGATAGATTAGTCTCCTAAGAGAGTAAACAAACACATAAAGAAACAGAAGAGGTGAGAGAAACAACATTAAAGAATGTAAGAGAACAAATAGTAGAAATGACAAATAAGAGAAAACTTGACAAAAGAACAAGGTAGATAAGTGATATAAAGAGAGATGAAAAAAGAGAAAATTAGAGAGAAAACAGTAAAGAAAAGGAAGAGAAAATTAGAGAGAAAACAGTAAAGAAAAGGAAGAGAAAATTAGAGAGGAAACAGTAAAGAAAAGGAAGAGAAAATTAGAGAGAAAACAGTAAAGAAAAGGAAGAGAAAAATTAGAGAGAAAACAGTAAAGAAAAGGAAGAGAAAATTAGAGAGGAAACAGTAAAGAAAAGAAAGAGAAAATTAGAGAGAAAACAGTAAAGAAAAGGAAGAGAAAATTAGAGAGGAAACAGTAAAGAAAAGGAAGAGAAAATTAGAGAGAAAACAGTAAAGAAAAGGAAGAGAAAAATTAGAGAGAAAACAGTAAAGAAAAGGAAGAGAAAATTAGAGAGAAAACAGTAAAGAAAAGGAAGAGAAAATTAGAGAGAGCACAGTAAAGAAAAGGAAGAGAAAATTAGAGAGAGCACAGTAAAGAAAAGGAAGAGAAAATTAGAGAGAAAACAGTAAAGAAAAGGAGAGAAAAATTAGAGAGAAAACAGTAAAGAAAAGGAAGAGAAAATTAGAGAGAAAACAGTAAAGAAAAGGAAGAGAAAATTAGAGAGAAAACAGTAAAGAAAAGGAAGAGAAAATAAGAGAGAAAACAGTGAAGAAAAGGAAGAGAAAATTAGAGAGAAAACAGTGAAGAAAAGGAAGAGAAAATTAGAGAGAAAACAGTAAAGAAAAGGAAGAGAAAAATTAGAGAGAAAACAGTAAAGAAAAGGAAGAGAAAATTAGAGAGAAAACAGTGAAGAAAAGGAAGAGAAAAATTAGAGAGAAAACAGTAAAGAAAAGGAAGAGAAAATTAAAGAGAAAACAGTAAAGAAAAGGAAGAGAAAATTAGAGAGAAAACAGTAAAGAAAAGGAAGAGAAAAATTAGAGAGAAAACAGTAAAGAAAAGGAAGAGAAAATTAGAGAGAAAACAGTAAAGAAAAGGAAGAGAAAATTAGAGAGAAAACAGTAAAGAAAAGGAAGAGAAAATTAAAGAGAAAACAGTAAAGAAAATGAAGAGAAAATTAGAGAGAAAACAGTAAAGAAAATGAAGAGAAAATTAGAGAGAAAACAGTAAAGAAAAGGAAGAGAAAATTAGAGAGAGCACAGTAAAGAAAAGGAAGAGAAAATTAGAGAGAAAACAGTAAAGAAAAGGAAGAGAAAATTAGAGAGAAAACAGTAAAGAAAAGGAAGAGAAAATTAGAGAGAAAACAGTAAAGAAAAGGAAGAGAAAATTAGAGAGAAAACAGTAAAGAAAAGGAAGAGAAAATTAGAGAGAGCACAGTAAAGAAAAGGAAGAGAAAATTAGAGAGAGCACAGTAAGGAAAAGGAAGAGAAAATTAGAGAGAAAACAGTAAAGAAAAGGAAGAGAAAATTAGAGAGAAAACAGTAAAGAAAAGGAAGAGAAAATTAAAGAGAAAACAGTAAAGAAAAGGAAGAGAAAAATTAGAGAGAAAACAGTAAAGAAAAGGAAGAGAAAATTAGAGAGAAAACAGTAAAGAAAAGGAAGAGAAAATTAGAGAGAGCACAGTAAAGAAAAGGAAGAGAGAGAGAAAACAGTAAAGAAAAGGAAGAGAAAATTAGAGAGAAAACAGTAAAGAAAAGGAAGAGAAAATTAAGAGAGAAAACAGTAAAGAAAAGGAAGAGAAAATTAGAGAGAAAACAGTAAAGAAAAGGAAGAGAAAATTAGAGAGAAAACAGTAAAGAAAAGGAAGAGAAAAATTAGAGAGGAAACAGTAAAGAAAAGGAAGAGAAAATTAGAGAGAAAACAGTAAAGAAAAGGAAGAGAAAATTAGAGAGAAAACAGTAAAGAAAAGGAAGAGAGAAATTAGAGAGAAAACAGTAAAGAAAAGGAAGAGAAAATTAGAGAGAAAACAGTAAAGAAAAGGAAGAGAAAATTAGAGAGAAAACAGTAAAGAAAAGGAAGAGAAAATTAGAGAGAGCACAGTAAAGAAAAGGAAGAGAAAATTAGAGAGAAAGCACAGTAAAGAAAAGGAAGAGAAAATTAGAGAGAAAACAGTAAAGAAAAGGAAGAGAAAATTAGAGAGAAAACAGTAAAGAAAGGACAAAACAGGAAGAAGAAAGAAAGAAATGTGCAAGAAAAACACAGAAATATTAATGTTAGTTCAGAACAACAACAAAATGTGTTAAATAACTAATCATCATATAATCTGGAGAACATTTAACTATCTTAAAGAAAAAAGAAAGTTTCGAAATATCAAATAATTCTTTTCTTTACATGGTTCCAACACTACATGCATTTGAGTATTCTTATAAAAAAACTTAAACAAGGCTACAATAACTAAAGAAGCTGTCGTAAACTACAGTTTTCACAGGAGAGAAAAAGACTGGCTCTTTGTCAATCAAGACAAGCACCACAAGCAATGATATAACATAATATTTATGCTAAAACACTGATTCCAGAATTTTAAAGTACATGTACTATAAACAAAAGAAATGAAAGCAAATTATCTAAACTCTTTCAATTTCTTGCACAATCCTTAACATTCTAACAAACCTGTTTCATTTTTCTGTTCCTCTTTTTCCTGTTCAGTCTTTTCATCTTCTTTTTCTTTTCTTTCCTGTTCTTTCTTTTCTTCATCCTGTTTTTCTCTCTCTATTCTCTCTTTCTCAAGTCTTTCTTTTTCAATTTTTTCTTTTTCTATTTTTTCTTTTTCTATTCGTTCATTTTCAAGTCTTTCTTTCTCTTTTTGTTCTTCCTCTTCTTTTCTCTCTTGTATTTTTTGCTCTTCTTCTTTCCTTTCTCGTTCTTTCCTCTCTCTTTCTTCTGCTTCTTCCTCCTTTTTAGTTTCTTCCATTTTTGTGTCTACACGTTCTAGACTAGAACCATTTACATCAGTTTCTGCCTCAGCTTTTGTCTCTGTCTTTTTCATAGTGGAGTCAGCACTTTTGCCCGACCCCCTAGACCCACCTTTGGCTATTTTTGCGTTCACTTCTTCTATTGCTTTTTTGATGGCAGTCTCTGCTGAGATGTCACCTGTGAATTATCAAGTCATTTTAATATGAATCTTTATGAATACAGATATAAGAATTCAAAATGACTTAACGGTCCATGTGGGATGAAACCTCTAAATGATTCTGACAATACAAAATAATATACTATGTATTTAAAAGAATAATTTTAAAGATCCCACAATGCATGCATCAATGACAAATAAAAGAATATTGGCAATATAAACATATCACAAGGCTACGATCTCATATAGTAAGTAATATTTGAATCATCATTTCCATAACTTAAGTGATAGGAATTATGAAACTATCTCCCCTGGTTAATGCTTAAAATGATTTTACAAATAACTTTACTGAGATCAACAATGAGTTTAAAAAAAGATTTTTGCAAATTTTTTCATTATTCAAGCACAAAATTACACAGAAAAAATATATCTTTCTCATATTTTCATCAAAGTTTACCTGGTCTGATATGATAACACTATTGTAATTGTACATGAAGAAATCTTTATAGGTACAATATTTACCTTGTGTCCTTGCTAGATCTAATGAAGTTTCAAAAGTTGACAATGCACCACTTAGATCTCCAAGTTTTACTGCAAAAGAAAGCATATTTGTCTTTGATTTGATACAAAAATGATGAAATCAAACATGTCTTTATTGTATTTTTTTCTTACTTCCTTTGTTTTAACTAGTTATTCTCTGACCTTTCCATTCAAAATCATATTGGCTAGCAAAATAAGTTTCCAGCTTTAAAGCGAAGGGATGAAAAATAGCTGTTGTTCCCACCCAAAAATTATCTTTATGACAACTAGTTGTGATAGAAGTGATAAAATCCATTAATATTCTCTAGTTCCTAAGAAACTCTTACAACTTAAGCAGAATGTTTACTGTGTTTATCCTGTTATAACCCCAGAGAGCCAATCCAGCAAATTAGACTCCATGGGAGTGGTAGATTATCATAGAACAATGAAAAAAGACATGTTAGCATTTTTACTGAATGGCAATCAGCATGGGTGGGCTTATTACCAGGCAAGGGTTTATTACCCGATAAATACAGTATTTGGAATACTGAGTAGGACTTTTTCAAGACTTGCCTTCTGATTGTGCTATAAGGACAGTTGCCTGGAGTTGCCACATAGGATCTTCAGCCTCCTCAGCTGCTGTCAGTGACTTCTCTCCATAGTCTCGTGCTTTCTCAAATTTATTAAGTTCTAAGTAACAGCGACCAATTTCATGATACAACCAAGTACTTTCTAAAGCTGATTTTGACATTGGAAGTTTTTGTTCCCATCTGTAATGTAAACATATAATCAAACTCTTAGATTCAATGTCAAGAAATTATCTTTATACCTTTTTATCATAAATTGTAAGGCAATAACACACAGAGTGTTAAATACATCAACAAATATTCTATAATTATATCTCTTACTTGAATATAGATAAATAGTTGAAATTCATATGTTAAACGAGTATTGATACAGAAATGTTCATACTTCCTTCTAAACTCTGTGTAATATAAACCTTAACAGCAGAATGAATTCTGTGGCATATCACTACTGGTTCATCTATTATCTTTTATTCAAATATACAGCCAGAAATATAAAGTAATACTTAAGTGCCTATTAAAGATTCCAGTCATAAACTATTACTGCTGATAAGGTGACAAACAAAAAGACATCAAAAGAAAAGAAAAAATGGAGCCATCGCCTTGTATCTCTCCGACGTAAACAGTAAATAACTTACACATCAATGGCTTTCTGGTAATTGCCATGCCTTGCATTCACTCTACCTAAGTTGTCCAATCCTCTGGACTTCGCTTCCTCTAGATCACTGTAAAAATAAAACCATTACTTTCATTGTAAATATCTCAGCATAAATTCTATTATTTTTCTTTTTATCTTTTCTTCTTTTTTTTTATTGCAATCTTTACAGATCTTTAAATGCAACAGCTCAATTTCTTGTGTAGAACAAGCCTTGAAATTACAGTTGATTTAAATGTTGATATTTACACAGAATGTAAATAAATCTGATATTTCTGTAATGATGATAACCCTTATAATGATAAGATACATACTGTGCATCTCCCATATTATAGTCAATTTGATGGTGTTCCAGGGCCTTGTCATATTGTCCCATCTCTAGGTAGGCATTCCCAATACAGCTGTGTAGGTTAGCAATCACCTCTAGTTTATTTGGCACTTGATCCTCGGTAAAGTTCTCCACTGTGCTCAGACATCTTTGGGCTTTCTTTAAACTTTCTTGGTATTTTCCCTCAATTTGTGCTGAAAGAAAAAATCAGAAATTAAATGTGCATCAGCTTTACTAGTTATCTATCTAAATGAGTTGACAAAATAAGTTCAACGACATAACCTCACACATAAACTTCAACACAATTTGACAATCAGTATAGTATTGGTAACAGATATCAAGCGACTGTCAAAATGTGTCACATGACTATCCAGATGTATCACATGATAATCTCCAGGAGTCACATTATAATAATGAATTACATATCTCAAGATAACATGATGAGTTACATGTGTGTGAACATCAGGATCAGTTGTATGATTATCAAGATGAGTCACATGACATTCACATGATGAGAAATAGGAATATCAAGATGAATCACATGACAGTAATAATGAGTCACATGACTATCAAGATGAGAGACAGGAATGTCCAGTTGAATCACAAGACAATTAAGTTAAAATGAAACACAATCAGAACAAGTCACATGACACTAAGGAAGTTCCATGTCTTTATAGAGTTGTTGGATGATACTTACACTGATCTATTCGCTCTAGTTCTCTGATGATGTAATCATTTGGAGAGAGTTTCCCTGTGTTTGACTCAAAACGATGTTTCTGCATGATTTTCTCATGTCGACGGGCATACATTGGTTTCTGTTGACGCCAGAAGTCTGTGCGGGTATCGAGGTACATCAATCCTTCCTCTACCAGGTTAGATATTGTCTTACCCATGTTTGTGTTGGGATCTGGAAAATGAAAAAAAATTAGTCTTAATTCAGAAGTAGGCTATATAACAACAATTTAAATTTTAACAAAGTGCTTATATATTCTAAAGAATTTCATATGATTGATTTATAATGCTCAAGATAAACTCCTTTTTTTACCAAATCATGTTCAATATAATAAATATTTAACTAAAATCAGATTCATGTGACCCATATTTGTTTCCAATGTAAAAATTACACAAAATACACACTTCAGTACAAATATGGTTTAAATTTAAATTTTGCATTCATTGAAATATTGATGTTTTACAATTTTAAATTAACAATAATGGAAATAAAATTCCTAAACTTATTATATCTTAATATTAAAAGTCATATTCCAAAACTCTGAGCAAATGTTCAAATAAAACAGGTTATATTTCTGACAAACTTTAACAAAGCACTCAGTACATAAAGAGTAAAACAGTATTGTAACCCAAACATACAGATACATGCGATGTACATTTCCTCATGTATCTATTCATAATCACAAATAAACCCATGTCTGACAATAAGCCCATCCATATACACTGCATGCTGTTCGGTAAAATTGCAAACCAATGTTCATTCATATCTTATGATAAACCTGTGCCTAGACTTTGAGTAATGTAGTGTTGATCTCTTGGGCTTACTTGTAGGATAACCAAAGTAGTTAGTTCAAGGCAATAACTGTCATTTCAAAAGTAGTTTTATATCTGTACCTGTTTCTTTAAGAAGCCTCTCCAGGTACTGCCTGTCACCATATAACTCTCCAAGGAGTTGTTTAATGGTTTTCTCATTACCAGGTGATCTGTTGAGATCAAACTTCCTTTTTCTAACTGGTGCATGTGCCAGCGAACGGCCCATACCATAACCACCACCTCTCTTTGGGAGTCGCTTCTACAGCACATCAGGAATCAACTTATTGAATGACATGCAGTGCTACATTATATTGATAGCTAAGATGCCTCTATGTATTCTTTATTATGAACAGCAAATCTGATCTATGTTATCTTGACATAGACTGGACTTAATTTTTTCCTAATATTTTCAGTTTCAAGTCTGTTATGTGTTTGTTTTGGATTGACAATTGGAAATTAAAATATTGTTATCCAATCATGGAATTACTTTAGTTGACCTTGAAACCATATAATAGCAAATTTAGAAATTATGAGATGGTATATATTATTCATGAGTATTATATATTGTACAAACATGTAAATACTTAATAATTCCTATTGTGAATTAAGTTTACTGCAATATGGAAATTCTATGTTTTGATAATTTAAACCCTAAATTATAGTAGATATTGAAAAATATTAAAACAAAATATAAAATTTGTCTTACCTCATCCTGCTTCTGAAAGAATGACAGATCTCCTTCTGTTGTCAGTTGGACTTTGTCTGGGGCTGAAATTAGCATCAAAGATTTAATGGTTAAGAAGTGACCTGTGTTTTAACTTTTTTGTCTATTCAAATATGCTTGTTTTCAAGTGCATCAAAGGGACTTGTGAGGCCTAACCACTAGATCAGTATCAAGTCCCAGTTCATGCACTAACAGATTTTTTTTCTAATATTTTTGTAACTCTTAATCTTTTCATCTTTCCATTACAAAAATTAGAATGATTCTATTTCACAGTGTATTTTTTTAGCGTGATCAAGATCTTGGTTTTTAGATTCCAATTATATTTTAAAACTGACATCAAGGTTCACTGCTGTTGCTTAAATATAGGAGAATTACAAAATAAACTCCTAAACCTTACCATATCAGTCTAACTTAATCCTACAGAATTGACTTACATCCTACAGAATTGACTTACATCCTACAGAATTTACTTTCATCCTACAGAATTGACTTACATCCTACAGAATTGACTTACATCCTACAGAATTTACTTTCATCCTACAGAATTGACTTACAGAATTGACTTACATCCTACAGAATTTACTTTCATCCTACAGAATTGACTTACATCCTACAGAATTGACTTACATCCTACAGAATTTACTTTCATCCTACAGAATTGACTTACATCCTACAGAATTTACTTTCATCCTACAGAATTGACTTACATCCTACAGAATTGACTTACATCCTACAGAATTTACTTTCATCCTACAGAATTGACTTACATCCTACAGAATTTACTTTCATCCTACAGAATTGACTTACATCCTACAGAATTGACTTACATCCTACAGAATTTACTTTCATCCTACAGAATTGACTTACATCCTACAGAATTTACTTTCATCCTACAGAATTGACTTACATCCTACAGAATTGACTTACATCCTACAGAATTTACTTTCATCCTACAGAATTGACTTACATCCTACAGAATTTACTTTCATCCTACAGAATTGACTTACATCCTACAGAATTTACTTTCATCCTACAGAATTGACTTACATCCTACAGAATTGACTTACATCCTACAGAATTGACTTACATCCTACAGAATTGACTTACATCCTACAGAATTTACTTTCATCCTACAGAATTGACTTACATCCTACAGAATTGACTTACATCCTACAGAATTGACTTACATCCTACAGAATTGACTTACATCCTACAGAATTGACTTACATCCTACAGAATTGACTTACATCCTACAGAATTGACTTACATCCTACAGAATTGACTTACATCCTACAGAATTGACTTACATCCTACAGAATTGACTTACATCCTACAGAATTGACTTTCATCCTACAGAATTTACTTACATCCTACAGAATTGACTTACATCCTACAGAATTGACTTACATCCTACAGAATTGACTTACATCCTACAGAATTGACTTAATCCTACAGAATTGACTTACATCCTACAGAATTTACTTTCATCCTACAGAATTGACTTACATCCTACAGAATTGACTTACATCCTACAGAATTGACTTTCATCCTACAGAATTTACTTACATCCTACAGAATTGACTTACATCCTACAGAATTGACTTACATCCTACAGAATTGACTTACATCCTACAGAATTGACTTACATCCTACAGAATTGACTTACATCCTACAGAATTGACTTACATCCTACAGAATTGACTTACATCCTACAGAATTGACTTACATCCTACAGAATTGACTTACATCCTACAGAATTGACTTACATCCTACAGAATTGACTTACATCCTACAGAATTGACTTACATCCTACAGAATTGACTTACATCCTACAGAATTGACTTACATCCTACAGAATTGACTTACATCCTACAGAATTGACTTACATCCTACAGAATTGACTTACATCCTACAGAATTGACTTACATCCTACAGAATTGACTTACATCCTACAGAATTGACTTACATCCTACAGAATTGACTTACATCCTACAGAATTGACTTACATCCTACAGAATTGACTTACATCCTACAGAATTGACTTACATCCTACAGAATTGACTTACATCCTACAGAATTGACTTACATCCTACAGAATTGACTTACATCCTACAGAATTGACTTACATCCTACAGAATTGACTTACATCCTACAGAATTGACTTACATCCTACAGAATTGACTTAATCCTACAGAATTGACTTACATCCTACAGAATTGACTTACATCCTACAGAATTGACTTACATCCTACAGAATTGACTTACATCCTACAGAATTGACTTACATCCTACAGAATTGACTTACATCCTACAGAATTGACTTACATCCTACAGAATTGACTTACATCCTACAGAATTGACTTACATCCTACAGAATTGACTTACATCCTACAGAATTGACTTACATCCTACAGAATTGACTTACATCCTACAGAATTGACTTACATCCTACAGAATTGACTTACATCCTACAGAATTGACTTACATCCTACAGAATTGACTTACATCCTACAGAATTGACTTACATCCTACAGAATTGACTTACATCCTACAGAATTGACTTACATCCTACAGAATTGACTTACATCCTACAGAATTGACTTACATCCTACAGAATTGACTTACATCCTACAGAATTGACTTACATCCTACAGAATTGACTTACATCCTACAGAATTGACTTACATCCTACAGAATTGACTTACATCCTACAGAATTGACTTACATCCTACAGAATTGACTTACATCCTACAGAATTGACTTACATCCTACAGAATTGACTTACATCCTACAGAATTGACTTACATCCTACAGAATTGACTTACATCCTACAGAATTGACTTACATCCTACAGAATTGACTTACATCCTACAGAATTGACTTACATCCTACAGAATTGACTTACATCCTACAGAATTGACTTACATCCTACAGAATTGACTTACATCCTACAGAATTGTCAATAGCTTCCTGTGCCTTCTGAATTCCAAGACGAAATTCCTGCAGCTCTGGTCTAAGTTTGTGCCCTCTGTGGTAAAAGACAAGGGCCATTTCAAAGTCACCCTGGTAGTAAAGGGCCTGGGCCTTCTGATAAACACCCTACAATTTGAATTACATGACATATATATTTATATACTGCTTATTTGAATCAAAATTATATTGTTTTCTTTTATTGTAATCCTGAAAATCATTGAGTCAAAAACATGTTAGCAAATAATTTGCAGCTGTAAGCAAGAGTTGAATATACTGCTTGCAAACCTGGCTTCAGGAATTGTTCCTTTCCTTTTCATTTATTTATTCTTATAAAGAAGGCTCTGTATAATACTAGCTATCCTCTTGATACCTAGTTGTCCAATTATTCAGATATTCTATTGACTTTTAATTCGTATGTATACATGTATCGCCATGGAGACAATGAATGTCCAAATTTTCCCCTATTTTATTTCCAAAAATTACAGAACCATCAAACTTTATCACCTTGGTGTCTACTAATCTACAACATTTCTTATTCAGATATACAATATTGCTATAACACTACTAAATATACAACAGTTTATCTGAGAAAAAGCACTATACACAATCAGGATTTAAACATCTTTTCAAGTCAACATAAATGTGCTTGCCACAATAGACTTTACAATGTGTTCACAACTTATCCCAAGAAATGGATTATTTGTACGAGTAAGTATAAACACTTTACCTTGTGGAAAGTTTTATCATCAGCAAGTGATGCTTCTGCATCAACAAGAGCATTTGTAGTGTCTCCCAGCTGCAGATGGCATTTTGATCTGGCAACCAAAGTATTTTTCTCATTGGGCTGCAGCTCCAATGCCTTTGGATAAGATAGAAGAAATAATAATAGTGACTATACTGTAGGAAAATATTTGAAAATGTAGAATACCACTGTTACAATTCAGACAAAGTTCTTAAAAATCAATTTCATACGTGTATATCCAATAATGACAAGATAATCCCCTTTACAATAATCACGTACAAGTGATTAATTAACGTTTTCAACGTATTAAAAATAACACGATTGGTGAGCTCACCATACTAGAACCGATCTTGCTCTGCAGAGAACAGACACGGTCAAGAAACGCTTTCAAAAGACCTTTCAGTCTTAAACTTAAGCTTGATCTGTGTGCAACAAAGACATCAAACAAACCTGGCTGATGAAAGTATGTGTACATTTTATGCACAATATGATATGTGAACTTTATTTTCTATTTCATTTTTAAGCGGCTGACGATATCAGACAATATATTTTTCATGACCAAATGTAAACACCTTAATCATATAAATTTAGAAATCGAAAATTAAAAGCTAATAGACGCTACACTAACCACCATGATAATTATAATATCATTAAATACTCTGTACATAAACTCAACCCCAATTCATCTTAATTCACAAACGATTAATGATGCAAATGCCTGTGAGTGAACTGGAGTCCATATAGTCTAGAAATGTAAACATTGACTTAACGAATACTCAAATTCATGAAATTGAACTTACTGTCGTGTAACTTTCAATAGATTTTCTGTATTCTCCTTGTTTGTACAATGTGTCTGCCTCAGCTTTGTATATTTCAAAAGTTCCTTTGGGACCCTCGGACTCTTCACCGTCATACATCTTGATTCTTGATTGTAACTTTCAACTTCACAGGCTCATAGATACACCTCTTCCGGTGATTTCCCTAGCAACGAAGCCTCGGTATGAGGCGCCACCTGACGTCAAAAGTGCTCAACAACCGAAGTTTCGTAGGCGGTAAGTTTTAGAAAACTACTGTTTTTAGTATATTTTGGATTTTAGTGGTTGAAATATAAATCTGCAAATTTTAACAAATTAGAGAAAATAACATTTTATTGATATAACACATAAATGAATAAATAAAAATACCAAGCAGTACAGTCAGCTCTCTCCATTAATCCGTTTCCCGCGTATAACCTAATCCAGATTAGCGCCAGATTATTTTTCATTCTGTTACAGGTTTACACTCTCTTTTTTCTGTACATGCTTTGTATTATAACGCAAGATTGGGTCCAGCACAGTAGTCTTAACCAGTGATTTAATTCTAAATAGGGCTAGCGTCTAGCAAAGTTTCAGAATTTGGAGTACTTGTACATTAATATATACTGTTCTTAATCTAGAAGTTAAGAACTTTAATACTATCTATCATACCGTCTTGACTGTAGTACCGATTTACTGAGTTGATCTGACGAAAATATAGGAATGTATGCTATGTATTAAGTGTAAAGGAAAAGCCAGCTATTAATAGTCTCGAGGGTTGTGTATTCAGTCGTAAGTTAAAGATGGCAGTCGTATGAGATTTCACTGACACAGTACCACCCATATGTAAACCATCACTGTAAACAAATGTGTCATATTCCCCAGACAGATCTAGAAGAATAACGATCCAAAATATAGCCAGGAATAACCTTGATGCAAAAATACTATGAACATCATCTTCTTACTATTGATATAAATATGTATATTTATTTGCTATTATTCACGTTTGATTGTTTTTGTCACTTGCTTAAAAAAAACCAAGTTGTTGTGAAACAGACACCAATCACTGATACCTCATCAACAATACCCAATGACGTCATGTTAACAAGTAAGTGATACTTGACGCTGTTGTATAATTACCCGATATTTTCCGGAAGTAATAATTTGCTGTAAGATTATATATTGATGAATGAATGTCCATCAGATAATAAAATCATTGAAATCTGAGTCGATTTCATCAAAAGACGCAACACAGCCAAGAATGTCACTATTTTCCAATGAAAATCGACTCACACCTACAATATAAAATATGTTTATAACTGTGTTATTCGTCGTTATTTATACGCTTTTTGACAGCCATGGACGGTAACGAATAGTTTAAGAATGATCACGGAATTTATGAAATTAATTGTAACTATTATGCCCGATCAACTATCATTAGAACTTTTCTCGTTTTGTGGACAGGCATATAGATTAATTCGAGTTACTTCCCCTCTTACCTAACACTAAGTACAAAGGCGAGGAAAGATTTTTTATCAAAAAAAAACTATGATATTACAAATTCCGACAAGTTACATGAAAAAAGCCATCAGATAATTCTGTTTAGATTTCAAATTCTACAGAGCTCAAAAACATCAATTAACCCGCCATACAAACAAAAGATGACGTCATGAAATGTTATGATGCAAACAATGTCAAATAATTTGGCGAAAATTATAAAGAGTATAATTGCATAATAGACAAACACACAAAGTGTTCTTCATCTAAATAAAACATTAATCAGAAATCAAAGCCATTACTTGAATTATTAGGTCTACATGTACTCTACTTCAGCTGTCTCTATTAAATGCATATCGATATTTTTTTAAAATATTTATTTAATGGTTTATTCTGTTCAAGTTTTTGTCACGTTTTATTCAGAGCGTATTTCTATGAGTAACATACATGTGATGACCTTGTTTCGGTATAGTATAAGAATGACATATAGGTATATTTGGCCCGATAAATGACGATGATGGAGAAGGATTATGAGGGGGTGACGGGCTATTTCACAAAGGACCTCTTTCATGAACAATGGAATTTTTTTGCCCACGACCCGATTTAATCCAAACCATGTGGCATTTATAGCACCCCAATACACTACCCTGAAATAGCACTTTAAAAATTCAAAAGGCCCATAGGGCCTGAATTATTATAGAATTTGTGACATTTACTGAGGGTATAAGGTAAGGTTCAGAAATGGCTCCATAACAAGGCAAGGGTTCATCGCAAGGCTTCTTATAACCACTTATTTTGTTCATTGAAATCCATTTGTTATTTTAAGGAAACATTATTTGTCAAATTTGGCATAAGAAAAAAGTTATGATCAATTAAATAAAGAAAAATGTGATTTTTTTCTTGTTTTTAGAACAAAGTTTGATCTTAGGAGGAGTGTTTCAAACTCTTCCGCTTTTAATCTAATTTGACCCCTTATATTTGCTGTTCTTAGCCAAAAAATTGAAAAAATTCGTGACCGGTAAGCTTGTCAATTAGCAGCTTAATTGCGTGGAGTCAGAATCTCGAAAGTGATGTCATGTGATTGATATGATGTTGTGATATGTTTCTTATCTTTGTTTTTGTTCTTCAAAATATGAAACAGAGATAAAGTGAGTTTAGAGATGACATTGGATATAAAAAAAAAACATTTTTGCAAGTAAAGTAAGAGGCCTGGAGGGTCTGTATCAGTTCTTTAGATCAAGTCTCTTAGGAAACATATTCAGTATGCACAGTAAAGTTACACATTTCGTTATGAACATCTGCTAGGATAACTCACTATTTACTTGTGTGCACCTCATTCCATTTGACTTTATTTCATTAGATATATCTGGTAAATTTGTAGTTATATAAAGGAGAAAACTGTAACCAGTAGGCCTAATAATATTTATAATACATGGTCAGAGTCTGGAAATGTAAGCTGTATTTGAAAAAATGTATTTTGTGACTATCATCTTTTGATGCATGAATATATGATCAGCTGGTGAAGTGAAAATGGGTCGGGGAACATTAAAATTACATGTCTGGCGGTTTAATGTACTCAGTGTCAGATATAGTTGCAATGTTCGCTACTAAAACCTTTGTTTTCTTTATTTTACAAAAATAAAAGAAAACATAAGAAAGACATTAAAACTGAAGGTTTATTAAAGATCTGAATGTATGTATAAAATTCCCTGTATAAATATTCAGTAAGAAAGTAATTCCGACGCACGCAAAAACATACAGTGTATTTCCGCATGGCCAGAATACAGCAAAAGTATATGTAGCAGCTGTATTCCGATTACTGTTGAGTTGAAATCCATAAAATTGTGGAAAATGATTAATAATATTAAGCAAATTGTCATACTTTTGTAATTCATTCCTAAGTCACCATGCTGAATTAGCAAAATAACATTTTTTCCCAGAAACTTATTTTTTGATTATAAAAATCCTGTAAAAAGAGTTTGTAAAACTTAAACATTTGATTAATTGTGGGAAATGAATGCTCTAAGTAATAAGTATCAAAGTGGCAGTAATTACATGATACAAATAAGCCTCCTTAAAGAAACACCTCTGTAAAAATTAAATTAAGTCCAAAATGTATCATTGTTGGTTGTCATAGTCATTATATGATTCTGTGTTTACAGGCAAACACCTTGCTATCTATATATCGCATTTGAATACTTGTAACATTTGAACCACTGAATTCTTGAATTTTTTCATTGATTTTGTGGCAAGTATGGGAGATGTATGCATAAATCCAAGCTGCAAGATTCGATTTAAGGATTTTGGTAAGGCTAGAAAATCATCACGGAGCCTAGATTCCCCACAAAACCGTTGGCTGAAAAATGTCCTCAAGAAAAATGGGGTGATTGTAGAAGTTGGCAGTAATATTTGTAAGAAATGTTACACACAATATCTAAGGAAAAGACCCTATCCTGAGGAAGAGGAAGAGGAGGAGGAGGAGGAGGAGGAGTGTAGTCAGGAATCGCAGTCCAATAGTTGTTAAGTGAATAACGCAATTGATGCGAATTTGCAAAATTACACAAGTATATCTCCAATGCCATCATTCCTTAATATCACTGATATTAAGTATGCTTCATCTTCACATCGCAAATGTTCCATATGTTTACAGTATAATGATTTATGTGTTACTATACCTAAGTCTGTCCGCCATATTTTGCTGATTGAAAAATGCCTATGGTGTCTTCCGGATGCACGTATCTGCCCGCAACAACTTATTGGCACTTACTTGTATCCGGATACTGAGGTATCTTTGAGTAGTCGAGAACCTCTACAAGCCAAACTAGGAGATATTTTTGGCCAGGTCATTAATGATTTATTTGAAATAATACACAAGATAGGCAAAGATGGAATTGCACCGAAGCTACAATTCGCAAATCTATCAGATACCGGCTGTATCGCATGGACTGGCTGGACCTTAGAACAGTTGAAGAAAATTTTTGAACTGTGCAAATCCGATCTTTCAGTTTTGACTTTCTCTGCCAGTTCACTGGATGTTCTTCTGTTTTTCTGGGTTAAATTAAAAACTAACCTTTCACGGAAGCAGATGACAGCATTGACAAAACTGTCAGAATCTACACTGTCCAGATATTTTCACAACGTAGTTGATGTTTTGAACACAACACTTGTGCCAAAATATCTTGGAACAGGACATCTTTCTCATGATGAAGCCATATCCCACAATACAGTTTTTACAAAGACATTCTATGGTGACAACGTAAATCTCATCTTGGATGGAACATATATTTATCTAAACAAAAGCAGCCATCATGAGTTTCGAAGGGCATCTTATGGGGGGCAAAAGAAAACCAATTATCTAAAATTCATGTCAGTTGTGTTACCTGATGGATACGTGTTAGACACAACAGGACCATACGATGGCAGCATCAATGATGCAAGCATTACAAAAATGATCATGGATAATTTTGATCTTCTAAGATCATGGTTACGTGAAAATGACAATATGACTGTAGACCGTGGTTTCAGGGATGTACTTGATATCCTTGCCCAGTTGGGCTTTGATGCAAAAATGCCATCCTTCCTGCCTCCTGGTAAGACTCAGCTGGATTCCCAACAAGCTAACGATG